GCACTCCTGGGTTCAATCCCAGGTACAAATAAATAAATAAATAAAATTAAAATAATAAATAAGCAAGCAGGAAGGCTACTTATCTCCTCTCCTCTTATCTTTATAGGGCTGACTCTGAAGATCCCCTATCTAGTGACATGCAAGGAAAACAGACTCAGTGTCTTTTTTTTTTAATATTTATTTTTTAGTTGTAGTTGGACAAAATACCTTTGTTTTATTTATTTATTTTTATGTGGTGTTGAGGCTCGAACCCAGGGCCTTGCATGTGCTAGGCGAGCACTCTACCGCTGAGCCACAACCCCAGTCCCCTCGGTGTCTTTTAAGACTTTGTGAGCAGGCCCTCTGCGTAGCTGAGAAGAAATTCAAACAGTGAGCTGAACACAGAAACTCAAAATTATACTCAGGGGCTCATAGTGCAGAAGATAGCAGGGGAGGGAAGTGTATTGGGATACCTGCTGTTGATGGAAGTACAGGAAAGTATAAGGAAACTACTGGGAGACTAGGTAAAATATCCAGTTCCTGAGCTGGGGTTTGATCTCCAGCACCTAAAGAAAAAGTGAAAGTCCAGTTCCTGTCTTATCTTTGTCTAGGATATGTTCCTTCCTCAGAACCTGGGGTTATGTCCAGTGCCTAAAAAGTAAATAAATAAAAGTCCAGTTCCTATCTTGCCTTTGCCTAGGATATGTTCTTTCCGCAGAATATTTCAATGCATGGCTTCCAACGTGTGTTGATACTGCCTGAACTCATAGGCAAATCTTAAAAACAAAAGAAGAAAGAAAAGGTTAGCACTGAGCTCTATGCCCTATATACTTCTCTTCCCATCTTCCTCCTTTATAGCTAAGAGTCCAAAGAAGCAAGTGTCAGGTCAGACAATTTATAACTTAATTGAATATGTGATAAGCAAAAAAGGAAGAGGGAGGAGCTGAAATTTGATGAAAGAGGACTACTGTGAGGATATGGCTATGAGGAAACAGGAACATTAGCTTTTATCTGTATCTGAATGGGTTTATGGTTACCAGTTGGGAAGAAATGCAAGACTAGGCAGTAAAATAGAGAAAAACCTAAGTGAAAAAGTCCTATTGTTTCTCAATTCCCAAGGACAGAAATTTCAGATGACAAATACTCTTTGCTCCTTGCTATATCTAAGACTTCCTTTCTCTGCATCCAGAAGTTATTTGAAGACTTGGTGACCTTACATCAGCTGCAGGAGCTACCACCAAAGGGGGACTTGAACCTTCCTCTCTCAATACTCTTTCTTCAGGTCATATCTCAGAGCATGACCTGCAGAAGAATCAAATGAATGTATACAGGAATAGGGCCATTGTCCCAAAGTGGAACCTGACATTGACAGCTCTCCCTGTCCTTTGTTCATTCTTCCTAACCAAGTTGTTAGAGTGGAACATGTATCCTCGTGAAGTACTATGGCAATATTCCCAAAATGCTGTCCTAGTCATGAGAGTCTGGAAAAATTTCAAACTACAGGGGTAGAGATTCTAGCAACAGGTCTATCCCAATGACTGGACACACCGAGGGACAGGCTCCATGCCTCATGCTGCCTTTTGTACCAGGAGCCTACCTGTGATCTCTTGGATAGCCAGTCTTGGGGTCCTATA